GAATGCCGAATAAATGCAGCTCTTTTATACCCGAATCTGAAAAAAAACTAATTTTTTCCCCTCTTGCCTCTCATATGGAGCTTCCCTCTCCATGAAACTTAATGGGGGAAGTGGCATGTTCTCAACATAAAGGGGGTCTCTGAATTGGGACAAAATAAGTGTATAGCAGAATCGTTCTTCAAATCTCTTGCTTATGTTTTTAAATGGAAGCCTCTGGCCTCATGGATGAGTTGTTTTTCACATGGAGAATCAGTAGGCTCTGATGGTATTCTGTGTACACGTTTCTTTATGTATTGATTTTACGCATTTAAACTAACTTTGATGTTTTGTTTAGGACTCAGGAGATGTTGCTGATACAAGCTTGGAAACGGAGGTGGAAGTTCACCATGCCGAGAAGCTTGGACAAGATGAAAACCTGAACATAAAGAAATTAAAAGAGAGGTGCCTTTCATGCTGAGAAATTTACTTTTTATTATTTTTTTGGAAATGTGATGCATCTGTATTTCCTACTCAGCACAGCACAGCACAGCCTTGCTTTGGTTGGACTGTCTGTTTCCGCATCAGATAGACCGGGCAAAAATTAGATTTTCTCCGACCCTAAAATTTTGTTTTTTCCCCCTTCTGATTTTGACAGAAATTAAAATGTTTTTGTGGGCCCCTAAAAGTATCGCGGGCCCTAGGTCAGCCCTGGTCAGCCCTGAGACCCCCCTCATTCTAGTATGCTTGTGTTTCTTTGTTTTTTGTTTTAAATTGCATGGGCATTTTTATGCAGGGGAGCATAACTGATTGGTATGTTGTTTCATCCCATCTCTGTCCCCCCCTCAACCCCCCCTTTTCATGTTGCTTTTGGTTATGTTAGGGTGTTGACTGGCTGCCGTTTCTTTGGCTCCGGTCACATTGGCTGGAAAATGCGGGGGGTAAGCGTGGCTGTTTGCTAAATAACGCGCGGTTGCGCGATCCGACATCCTGTGGATGTCCCGTGGAGGTTCCAAGGTTAGGAGGGAGGTGCCGATCACACCCCAGGCAAAGAAGCGGGGCGGCGCGGCAAACGGGGTTGTGTTTGTTTTGTGTAAACTGAAGTGTGCGCATGCTCCGTTGGGTGCTTGTGTGCATCCCGTAGAGACTTAATAAAAACCTTTGCGCACTCTTCCAAGGGTCAAATGACACAGCCCCTGTCCCCCTATAGCCGCCCTTCCCCACTCCCTCAGCCGTTCCTTCAGCCCCCTGTCCCCCAAACCTCCCCTCAACCCCCCACTCTTCCCCCTTCCTTGATCTGCTCCGTTCTTCTGCCCTTCTCCCCTGACCCGAATCTCATCCCCCCCCTCCCTTGACCGGCTCTGTTCTTCTGTCCTTCTGCCCTTCTCCCCTGACCCGAATCTCACTCTCAGCCCCCCCCTTTCCTGTGTTGCGTTTCATCTGGCTGCTCTCCTCTTCTCTGCACGACTCAAGTCTTAGCGAGCTGCTCAGTTGTGTGGTTTTGTTTTTTAAACTACAGTTTGCGCATGCTCCGTTGGGTGCTTGTGCGCATCCGTGGAGACTTGAAAAAAACACACCTTTTTGCTAGGGGACATGGGCGGGCGCCGGAACTACCACCGGAAACCATGAGAATGCAGCTACCATTTAAAAATCATTTTAAAAAGGGCAGGCACTCTTGTTTTTCTCTGCAAGTGCTGAAACAGCCACCGGTCCAGCCATTTCAGCACTTGATAAGGTTCAGAGGGAGAAAACAAGAGCGCCTCTGCCTGCTGCCTGTGGACCCAATCAGGATCTGGGCCCTCGTGGCATTTAAAAATGGTGGCAGCGTCCTTGCAACTGCTGCAAGGACACCATCAGGTCTAGTTTGGCTCTCCGTGTCCAACAGTCCAATTTTTTGTAGGTGATCTTCCCTGTACCTAGAGGGGGGAAAAGTAAATTTTGTCTTTTCTCCCAGCTGCGACACAGCAAGAAGCGACCTGAAGCTCCTCCTATGCACTGTCAGAGAGAGTGTTGCCTCTGGTTTTACCGATGACGTGAAAGACACTTCCTGCTTTCAGAACAAGCTGGATGAGCTACAGGTACTATCTGAATCTCTTCCCACCCTTGCCTTTAGGCTGTGACGATGGCTGGCATTCTAAAGGCCCCTGATTGGCTCAGTTGAAACGTTGCACTAAACCATAGTTGGCTCTGAATGTAGTTTAGACTCCAAACTGTGGTTTGAGCTCCAGAACAAGCAACAGGCAAACTGTGGCTTAGAGCATGCTTTTCTCTGCCATCCGTGCAGTAATTGGCTTCATAGATTCGTTCTTGTCTTCACGGTACTGCAACTTCTGGAGAAAGAACAGTGGCTGTAGCCAGGGGTCATTTTGTAGAAAAAGAGGTGCAGGAGCTCATTAGCATAACTCATTTGCATATGCCCCACCCCCTGAAATTACCGGAAGTATGTCAGAAGGGAACACCCACCGCTCAGGCTCCACTGGACTGTTTTGGATTGCTAGCTATCTGGGGGGGGGGATGTGCAGATCTGTCCTCGCAGAGGAGGGAGAGCTTGTACCTGAATAAAACATGGTCTTAATGGTGCCACTGGACTTTCTTGGACCGGGGGGCTGGGGGGAGCTCTACAACTTACCTGGCTGCTTCTTGCTCTGACTGAGGGCTGCTGGGAGCAGGGGGTGGGGCTTGTTACATGTGCCCGCCTCCTGGGCTGTTTACTGCCGGAGCTCCGCTCCTGTGTGCTCCTGCAGAAAATGACCCCTGGCTGTAGCCATTGTTTGCCACAATGTATGGATGGAGCCAGAGGCACCCACTGGATGGCTGTCCATCATATGGTGCATTTTGCCATATACAGAAGTCCTGGGAAGCCATGACTATATTACCCTCACGCACACCACTTCAAACCCTAATTTTTGTTATTATTCTTTTATTAAATTTATCAATTAAATTTATCAATCACCCAATCCTTGCTACTGCAGGGCTCTGGGCGATGTACAATATGAATAAAAACACACACTAGACAAAACAATTAAAATTGGACAGATTGCAAGCAGATTAATCCCATTTCAGACTGCCAGGTGCTTCATAGGCAGGCGTAAGGCAAACATAGAGAGCGGAAGAGGGTGCCAACCAAGGTGAAAACCATTGCTGTCCTTAACCAGATCCTGGTGGAACATCTCAGCCTCGCAGTTCCTGCAGAATTTCATAAGGTCCTGCGGGGCCCTGATAGTACTTGGAGGAGAGTTCCACCAGGCTGGGGCCAGGACCGAAAAGGCCCTGGCCCTAGTCGAGGACAGCCGGAAGTCTTTGGGGCCGGGACCACTAGTAAGTTACTATCTGAAGAGCGCAACGCTCTCCTGGTGACATAACAGAGGTACACTGGTCCCTGACTGCTCAGCTCACAGGGTGTCTGTTGTGTGGTGGGGAGGGGAAAGGAGTTTGTAAGCCCCTCTGAGACACCTTTGGGTAGTAAAGGGCAGGGTATAAATCCAATCTCTTCTTCTTCTTCTTCTTTTACCTCATAGGGTGTCTGTTGTGGGGAGGGGAAAGGAGTTTGTAAGCCCCTCTGAGACACCTTTGGGTAGTAAAGGGCAGGGTATAAATCCAATCTCTTCTTCTTCTTCTTCTTTTACCTCATAGGGTGTCTGTTGTGGGGAGGGGAAAGGAGTTTGTAAGCCCCTCTGAGACACCTTTGGGTAGTAAAGGGCAGGGTATAAATCCAATCTCTTCTTCTTCTTCTTCTTTTACCTCATAGGGTGTCTGTTGTGGGGAGGGGAAAGGAGTTTGTAAGCCCCTCTGAGACACCTTTGGGTAGTAAAGGGCAGGGTATAAATCCAATCTCTTCTTCTTCTTCTTCTTTTACCTCATAGGGTGTCTGTTGTGGGGAGGGGAAAGGAGTTTGTAAGCCCCTCTGAGACACCTTTGGGTAGTAAAGGGCAGGGTATAAATCCAATCTCTTCTTCTTCTTCTTCTTTTACCTCATAGGGTGTCTGTTGTGGGGAGGGGAAAGGAGTTTGTAAGCCCCTCTGAGACACCTTTGGGTAGTGAAGGGCGGGGTATAAATCCAATCTCTTCTTCTTCTACCAAAATCTTGAGCTTGACTCGGTACTCCACAGGTACTAAACATTAACGTTTAAGTAACGTTTGCTTCATGTGTAGCTACAATGAGCCTTATGTGTGCCGTCTCTTAAAGGTGATTCGGAAGCTTCAGAAAGTAGATTATTTATTTATTACTTTTGATTCCTATCCTGCCCTGCCCTGCAGTGGTCTGCCTCCCAGGAGGCTCAGTGACGTGGGAAGCCTATTCAGCCAATTTGGTGGCAATTGAACTGTCCTCCAGGTAGCTTCCAGTTCCAAACTGAGGGCTTCTTTTGACCCGTAAAGCAGACGGTACCTTCCTCCTCTTCCCCTATGTAGTGGCGGAAAGCCCCGTCAAGTCTCAGCCTATTTATAGCAACCCTGTAGGCAGGGCTTTTTTTGTAGCAGGAGCTCCTTTGCATATTAGGCCACACACCCCTGATGTAGCCAATCCTCCAAGAGCTTACAGTAGCCCCTGTAAGAAGAGCGCTGTAAGCTCTTGGAGGATTGGCTACAGTGTGGCCTAATAGACGAAGACCCTCCTGCTACAGAAAGAGCCCTGCCTGTAGGGTTTTCAAGGGCAAGAGAGGAACAGAGGTGGTTTGCCATTGCCTGCTTCTGCGTAGCAACCCTGGACTTCCTTGGCGGTCTCCCGTCCAAGTACTCACCAGGGCCAGCCCTGCTTAGCTTCCGGGATCTGGCAGGATCGGGCTAGCCTTGGCCATCCAGGTCAGTGCCCTGTGTGCTCCCTTGCCAGTTAATGTTGTCTTCTGGAAACCTACTTCTTGTGCCATTTTTGTGCACGATCGCTAGAGTCTTAGCACAAAACGGCTAGTCAGTTAAGATCAGAGCTATTTTTGGGCAGGAACGCACAGGAACGGAGTTCCGGCTGGCTTCAGAGTTGGCCACGCCCACTACAGCCAAAACCTCTGCGTGCGCGGCCACAGAGGGAAGGCCTGGAGAGCGAACCACACCACCCCCGGTGACTCTGAGGTGGGCGGGCCAGGGGGAGCCCTGGAAGGATCGGGGAGGCATTTAAATGCCTCCCCGTGCCTTCCCCGGCCTGTCCAAGGGTCAGCTTGCCCGGGTAAGCCAGGGGAAGGCATGGGTGTGTGGCCTAATAGGCTAACGAGCTGTCCTGTCTTGGGTGTGGCCTAATATGCTAATGGGTTTCTGGTGTTGGGTGTGGCCTATTATGCTAATGAGTTCCTGCTGGGTTTTTTCTACAAAAAAAGCCCTGGTTAAGATCCTCTTCTCAAGACCTCCTCTCTGTGCCCCCCCCACCTGTGGAGACGAGGTCTCTGCCACAGGGCTTTCTCGGTGATGGCACCCCTCCTCTCAAATGCCCTCCCCCTTGCTGGCGATCCGATCACACATCCCCAAGGTAACGTGCCATTTCACCCTACGTGAGGCATTACAGCGCTTTTGCTATTTATGTTTGGAAATCTGTGGATGCTCCATTGGTAAAACCGCCCTGTTTCATGCCAGTAAAACGCCTTCGTTTTGTAGACTTTAGAGAGCAAAGGCGATTCTTCGTGGAAGCGGTTTGAGACGATGGCTTTAAAGCTTGAAACGGAAACAGAAGAATATGCAGACACAGAAACATCTCGGGAAGAACTGCTCCGAGAATGGAACAAGCTTCACGTGGCTTTACAAGAACGGTACAACCCATGCATCAGGGAGGATTGGGCTAGATGTACATATGTTGAGGCACGCACTGGCTGTGCGTACCAAGCAATGGTCAGTGTGCTATGGTATGCATGCGCCTGAGGGTCAACCTAGAGGAGAAAGGAGGGAAGAGGGCTCTGTTTATTTATTTATTTATTTATTTATTATTCAGCTTATACCCTGCCCTCCCCACAAAGCAAGCTCAGGGCAGCTTACATTCATTAAAACATATTACATAATATATATAAAGGTAAAGGTTCCCTTGCTCGAAAGCCAGTCGAGTCCGACTCTAGGGTTGCGGTGCTCATCTCCGTTTCAAAGCCGAAGAGCCAGTGCACCATAGTGCTGCAGTTTGTTTGTCGCCGGGCCATTCCAATACCCCGCTGTTACCAAACTCGTTGTTGTTGTTGGTGGTAGTGGTGGTGGTGGCGGCAGCTCCTAATCGAAAGCCTGGTGGAATAACTCCATCTTACAGGCCCTGCAAAACTGTGCAAGGTTCTGCAGGGCCCTGATCTCTTCCAGGAGCTCATTCCACCAGTATGGAGCCGCCACTGAAAAGGCCCTGGCTCTGGTGTTCAGCCAGAGACTGATTCTTTCATGCTCACTCCAACAAGAGGTAGTAAACCTCTGAATCCCAGTGCCAGGAGGCAACACCAGGGAAGATCTCGGCCTCAATGCCCCGTTGTTGGACATCCAGAGGAACTGGCTGGCTGCTATTTGACACGAGAAACTGGACTAGATGGGTCCAGCCCCATAGCCAGAAAGTTTTCGGGGGGGGGGCAAAGAGGGGGCAGTGGCTGCTGGTGGGGAATGGGGGAAGGAGGAGGGGGAGAGGGGGGACCTCACTCTGCTCACGCTCACGCTCCTCTTCCTGTCTTTAGGATGGAATCTTTAAAGGCTGCTTGGGCGTTCGTTTTGCCGATGGAAAACGAATGGGCTGTGCTCTGCAGCTTGGATAAGCAGCTCTGCGAAATAAGCGTGCGGCAGTGTCTGTTGACTGACAGCGATCTCGCCGGCAAACGACTGAAGGTTTGTGTTTCTTTAGGAATGCTTCCGTCCAGGCGGCACTGGGTGCCTCCTGATCGTTCACTCGACCCCAGCGCAAAGATCCTTGGCACCAGAACCGTGCATTCCACAGCCAGCTGGCAGTGGGAGTGAGGCTAGCCCGATCTCATAAGATCTCAGAAGCTAAGCAGGGTCGGCCCTGGCTGGTATTAGAAGCCAGTTTGGTGTAGTGGTTAAGTGCGCGCACTCTAATCTGGGAGAACTGGGTTTGATTCCCCCACTCCTCCACTTGCACCTGGCTGGGTGGCCTTGGGCAAGCCATAGTTCTGATAAGAGCTGTTCTTGAAAAGGAGCAGTTTCTGTCAAGAGCTCTCTCAGCCCCACCTACCTCACAGGGTGTTTGTTGTGGGGAGGGGAAGGGAAAAGAGTTTGTAAGCCCCTCTGATACTCCTTTGGGTAGTGAAGGGAGGGGTATAAATCCAATTTCTTCTTCTTTTACCTCACAGGGTGTCTGTTGTGGGGAGGGGAAGGGAAAGGAGTTTGTCAGCCGCTCTGAGACTCCTTTGGGTAGTGAAGGGTGGGGTATAGATCCAATCTCCTCTTCTTCTTCTTCTTCTTCTTCTTTTACCTCACAGGGTGTCTGTTGTGGGGAGGGGAAGGGAAAGGAGTTTGTGGCTGTCCCTTAGAGGAGGGCAGGGAGCTGTTCCTGTGGGCAGCAGAGGAGAGGACGCGCAATCATGGGTTTAAAATAAGGGCGGGAAGGTACTGGCTGGGTATTAGGAAAAACTCTTTGACAGTCAGAGTTGTGCAGCAGTGGAATCAGCTGACTATGGAAATCGAGAAGCATAAAACATCTTGTATATCTTCTCTACAGAAGCACTTTAAAGCTTGTGTATTACAGCCAAAGATGACAACAGTCTACTATCTTTAAAGAAGCGCTTTATTGATGGCACAGCACTTTATTTCTTCTTTTCTCTGAAGATAAGAATATTGGACTGTTAAATGTATATGAGATTTCCTGTGGTTTCCGTTAGTGTGATCGGAATGTATATTATACGAGGCTTGCCTTAATAATATGAATGTATATCTATACTCATGATGACTTGTTGAGATCGCACTCTTTATTATTGCTGAAACAGATACTCTCCTTAACATAACCACGCCCCCCCGTATTGTACAACTTTATAACAATGCTTCTCTCCTTATATTGTATAGCCAATCAGGACCCTGCTGGACACGTACCCTACCTGGCCCTACTAGCTTTCTAAAAAGACTTAGTGAGCACCAAGAAAGTTGTTGGCCACATGTGTCCCAGTGTTCCCTCTAAGCTGAGTCAGTGTGAGCTAGCTCACCGTTTTTTAGCCTCCGGCTCACAGATTTTTGTCTTAGCTCAGGAGGGAGGGCTCTAGAGCAAATTAATTTAGACAGTAGCCAAATCCCTCACTCACAACTTTAATGCCAGCAGCTCACAAAGTAGAATTTTTGCTCACACGAGGCAGCATTAGTGGGGACCCTAAGGTCTTCAGAGTCCTCTCAGACGCTGAAATCCTTCGGTTTGAGATGCCAGGGGTCAGGGCTATTTTTGGGCAGGAACGCACAGGAACGGAGTTCCGGCTGGCTCCTGAGTTGGCCAGCAGGAACTCATTAGCATAACAGGCCACACCCAACAGCAGAAACTCATTAGGATTGGCTACATTAGGGGTGTGTGGCCTAACATGCAAAGAAGTTCCTGCTACAAAAAAAGCCCAGGGTTTTGACAACAAAGTAAACAGAATAAGAAGCAAAAGGTGGGTGTGGTTGGATGACCACACTTCTGGTAACATGTGGGGTGTGGCCTAATATGCTAATGAGCTGTGCTGTCAGGTGTGTGGCCTAATATGCTAATGTGTTTCTGCTGTTGGGTGTGGCCTAACATGCTAATGAGTTCCTGCTGGGCTTTTTCTACAAAAAAAGCCCTGCCAGGGGTTAACCCCCGATCATAGAATCTTAGCGTTGGAAGGGACCTCCAGGGTCATCTAGTCCAACCCCCTGCACAGTGCAGGAAATTCACAAATACCTCCCCTCCATACACACCCAGTGACCCCTGCTCCATGCCCAGAAGATGACAAAAAAACCCTCCAGGATCCCTGGTCAAACTGGCCCGGAGAAAAATTGCTTCCTGACCTGCAGTCTGCTACTGAGCAACAGGCCCAGCCCTCATCTGCAGGAGGGAGATACAAGGGGGACTGGATCTTTCCTCTCATCGATTTGCTGTCTCTGTCATTCTGCCCCCTCTTTCAGGAAATGCAGGCGTCTGTCGCAGATTGCATCGCGAAGTGCAACCGGCTGGAACAGGGCAGCCCCGTGGGAGGGAGCCTTGACCCGGTAGATCGGCAAGCCGTGTGCGTGATGGTGGTTAAGTACAAAGAGCGGTTCGAAGAACTGGGCGATAAGGGGGAGGCCGT